AGAGAGAGAGAGAGAGAGAGAGAGAGAGAGAGAGAGAGAGAGAGAGACAGAGAGAGACAGAGAGATGTATACCCATGCTGTCTGGCTCCATAGTGACAGTGTGTGAGATGTGAGGGAAGACGCTGATGGTGTCTCGTCTGTTCTGGCGGTAGATGAAGCGGTTTCCCTGGAAGTAAAGGCTGATGATGTCCGTCTCTGAACCCAGTCCTGACACGTGCCATGTTACCGTATCCCCCTTACACATGGTCAGGCCTGGGAGGTTCCAATACACAAAGCCATTGATTGCTAAAAGAGAAAGACACGGAAACAAAAACTACAGTGATTAGCTCAAAAATGATAAAATCATTAAGGGGAAAAGCTAAGCTGAGCTGCCAGTGATCAGTGTGTGAGTGTGCGTCTCCTCACCGTGCATCTTGTTGCTTTCAATAAAGCCCTCATCCTCCTTGTTAAAAGCAGGCTTTATGGGAGCAGTGGTTAGGGACCCAATGTTCTCATCCAGATACCAGCTCAGGTTCTCATCAAACACAGTGGCCATGAGGTGGAACTCTTTTTTATAGTTTTTCTACATGAGGAGAAGAGAGAAGGAAGAGGAGGAAAGGTGTCTAATTGTGATTTCATCAACACATTTCAGTCATTTCAGTTTTCTGTGTCCCTCTATGGCAGACCTCTATTGAAGCTGTTCTCCAGCCTTCTTGAAATAAGCCAGATATGTATCAGATTTAGGTCCACACATACTGCAAATATCCCCCAAATCAGAACTGGAAACACCAGATTTAATGGGATGTGACCTGATCAAACGTAAGTTTAGTGATGCTCTCTTCTTACTTGTATTCCTTTTTTCAGTGATCCAGGACGACAGATAAGGAGCGGTCCAACCAGTCCAGAGTGGGTGTCTTTAACAGGGTCCACTCCAGAGTAGTACAGATAGGTCAGACAGTCAGCCTCCCCTTGAACTGGACCAGCACCCAATGGCACCGTCCATTCATAGCTGTGCAACGTTCCAGGTCTGACCAGAGCAGCTGGGGGAGGGGTCACCACTCCTAAATTTATTAAAAGAAAGAGGAATATTATAATGATGATATTGTTAACTAACTTAGACTGGCACTGTAATAATCCAGGTTTTAGCTCACTTGGTTCCCTCTTCAACTCCCGCAGTGTCTTTGCTGTATGGGACTCTGAGGAGGAGAAGAAGTGTAGGGCAGGAAAGACGGAGACATAAAACAAGATAAGAAGGTGTCTAATGTATAATCTAGTACGTCGATAACAGTGTGAGTGTATGTGCATGTATTAACCTTCCAGTTCATTGTGATAGAGCGTCCCATCCTGTTCTATACTGTACTGAACACCATGAGGCTGTATACTGTAAGGCCGGCTGGCTTTGTTCTTAAACACCACCTTGATAGTGTCCTTCTCTTCAGCTCGCAGCACAGGACCTGGAGACATGGATGGACACAAATGGACACACAAGCACAAATGTAGGACAAAGGACCATTCGATGACACTATGTTGGGAGATATCTCATCGTGTTAACAAGATCCTGCCGACATATTTCAAACATTAGTGTTGAAACTGGCAAACTGTTGTTGAAGTGATCTGATGAAGTCTGTCCAAAATATGAACAAAGACCTTTAATGCCTTCAACAATAACAAAGCCAGAAGGTCAGAAGATTTATTTTTTTAAAAGCTGTTTTTAGTTGTAACCCAAATATCTTTCTTTGTTTGGGACAGTTGGTTGGACTAAACAAGCAATTTGAAAATGTTTAGGAAGTTGTGATGAATAAAAAATGAAAAAGTTATCTGCAGGTTAGTCAATGATGAAAATAACTGTTAGTTACAGTCCAGTGTTGTGTGGCAAGTTTTCCCCTTTGGAAAGGGGAGCAAGACATATAATAATATATTTAGTTACATACCATACTATCAATACATAGCATTTTTCATTTAGTAACAAGCGTGTTTGGCTGTACTTGTTTGAGTTTATTTGTGCCTCCAGAGCATCTCTGACTCTGGAAAAAAAAGTGCAACCAACCCCTGCCCAGCCTGGATTACCCAGAATTCCAAGATGTAGCCCCTCTGGGCTGCGTAGCATCTTTGTTGTGAAGGTAATGTCCGTGTATTCCACATAGCGAACCTTCTTATAGCGGCTTCCAATACGGTTTTGACTTCTAGTTACAAACATATCTGCTTCACTACACACACACACACACACACACACACACACACACACA